TACACCTATTGTGAATCAGTGACTGTGTGGCTCATAAGAATGAGGAAACTGAGGTTTCAAGCAATTAATGAGCTTGCCCAAGGTGGCATAGATGGAGCTCGCATCATCTGACTGTCTAAGATCAGGGCTCCTCAGCTTTCACCTTAGCTGCCTATTTGCTAAGTTTCCTTAAAGATAAAAAATGGATCTAGGTGTGTGTGTGGGGGCTGTTGGAATTAGGGACCCAGGACCCCTCCTGCCAAGGGGACCACACAGCATGGGGAGAGACAGCTCCTTTCAAAGCCTCTGTGAACGGAGTCCCTGTGGCCGTCATGAAAGGGTTATCCCCACACATCCGATATTTGCAAAAATGTGGGTTCTTTCAGATTCCAAAACTCATTTCCATGACAAAACTCTTGGGAAGAGAAGATGAAGGCCTGGCTTTTGCAGAACAATCTTCCAGCTGTAATGAGGACTGAAGATGGCGATGGGAAAAGGAATTATAATTAGAATATGAAATGGGGAAAATTAATCTATTCCAGTCAGTGGTAAGAGGATGTTCTCCTGGCATTTCATGGAAATTCTTAGGCCGATATTTCCCCCTACATTTTTTTCCCCACATTTTAAAGCATACAGAAGGTTATGTGGTGTGAAAAAAGATGTTTGGCTGAGGGACTGATAAATTGTGAAGTATGCATAGAATTTAAGTTCTTGTGTATCTTTGCTTTGTATGTCTGTACATGCTCATGCCATATATGTTTGCGTGTGCATTTGTGTGAATTATATTTATACAGTTGCAGATGCACGGTACACATACACATCGGGCATCCCCTCCTTCCTGTGGGTGCATGCTGTGGGTGTTGTGTATCCAGGCATGTAAAGGGTCTGTGAGGTGTGCACACTCATGTTTGTGCTGTGAACACCTTTGGGTTGGTTTGTGTCACCCATGGGTGTGGTACATGTGTGACCTGTGCTGTCTTGGACGCTGTGTTTTGTGTGGCATGGGCCCCCACTGGTTTGTGGGGCATGAGCTGTCGCCATGCTTGGGCACATTGCATATGTCATTTATCTTGTTAACTTACTCAGATTCGCTGTGGGGTGGGTATAGATGTGGGTGTTTTCTGTCTTGTCTGTGCACATGGAGGAGGATGTGGCCTTGTAGTGCCTGAGCACAGAGGCTGGCTTTGTGACCTCTCTCCTTGGCTTACAGTTTTTTTCCTCCAGAAAAGCTTCCCCAAGAGGAGGGCTGAGAGGGGAAGGCCCAGGCCTTGGTGCCCTGGAGGACAAGCCAGGGGAAGCCTGGGAGCCCTCAGCGTCTCTCTCTATCATGCCGTCCCTCTCCAAGGGCTCTAACATGGTGGAATCCTGGGGAGAGGTGGACAGAGAAGACCCCCGCCACCACCACCTCGGGGCCTCTGTTCTCAGCTGTTCAGTAAGACGGTCCTGAGCCCAGTGTGCTTCCAGGGTACCGTGCCACGCACCCAGGGATGACCTAACGGAGGCTGACCCAGGCCCTGCCTTGTGGACCGCCGCCAATTTCTCAGGTCCTCCTTGAAAGTGAGAGGCAGGCTTTACTCCGTGTGCGGCAGCTCTTTCTTGGTTGAATAAACGAGTGAATGAATAAGCCCACTTGAGTGAGGCTCTGGTGACCTCAGGGGCCCCACTGCCCGACCCCCTCCCTACCCCCAGCGTGCCCACATCAAAATCCAGGTCCCTTTTCCTCATGTCTCCAATGCCATCCCCCACAGCTCGCTGTGGATAACCCCTCCCTCCCTGAACCACCAGCACGTCCTCATCAACACTGTCATGCGCCAGACCGAACTAGTCCTTGTTTATATCAGGGGGTGCAGCAGAGCCTTGATCCCCGCTGTCGAGGAGCTTCCAGCCCAGTGGGAGAGCAAGCAGAAGAAGCAACAGCCCCTCTGAAGTCCAGCCTCTCCCTCACTGCACCGTCTTGGCAGCTGCTCATCCTCTCAGCCTGCGTCCTCGGCTTTAAACAGGGAAGATAAACCTGCTCAGTGGGTTGTTGTGAGGATTAAATGAGAACTTCTGTGGAAAGCGTTCTGCTCACGCCAGGTGTGTTCATTCATTCACAGCGTCGGGGGAGAGAGCAGACCCGGGCCCCTCCTCATGCGTCGGCTCCCTTCTAGCCAGCGTTTGATAAATGGGCTGTGACACAGGGTCTGGGGGGACATCCTTCCCTCTGCTCCTTTGATGCATATTCCTATATTTTTAACTTATGCCATGCTGTTGGATTACTATTGCTTAATAAAATGTTTTAAATACATGGTTAAACTTTGTCCCCCTCCGTTTCCAGTCATTTTTTCTTTTAGAGCATACTTCTAAGTTGTGTGTAGTTTTTAAAGAAGTTTTGCTTTTATCAAAGTAATAGATGGCCATGGTGACACGTCAAATAGTACCCAGGAGCTTTTGTTGAAAGCGCCCCATCTTACCCAATGCATAGTCCCGTCCTGATGCCAGCTTATGCCAGGGGCTGGGGGATTTGGAGATGACCAGGTCACAGATCCAGCCTCCATGTTGTCCCACTCTGGGGTAGAAGGCAGATGTGGAGACAATCTCTGTTGTAAGAGGGACAGCCAGAGGAGGCAAGAGAATGGCAGGCCTCCTGGAGGAGGTGCTTTCTGAGCAGGGTCTTGAAGCTTTAGCTCTAGGTGCAGGGTGGTGGATGGAGCCCTGCATTTGGGGTCAGTGCCCAGACTCCAGGCATGGCCTGGCCTTTTCTTTTGCTCATCCAGCGGTCACCAAAGGACTGCCATCCCTGGGCTGGGAAGGCACTTGGGTGTAACCACCAATCCCCCTGCCTCCGTGGAGAGACTGGCCTGGTAACAGACAATGTGAATGGTGTAGTGGCTGCTTCATTCATTCATTCAGCAAGCATTTCTCCTAGGTGCTTGGGAGGCATCAGTGTATAGAGAGCCTCCATGTTAGTGGGGGAATCCAACTATAAGCAAAGAACATGGCAAGTAAGTAAATTATGTTGAATGCTAGAAGGTGAAAGGATCTATGGAGCAGAGAACAAGGTAGCGTGGAGCAAGGGACTCAGGAATGGTGGCAATGTGGGCCCTCGGCCCACAGAGATGGGGGGCTGGCATCTGAGTGGTTGTTGAGGAAAGCATCTCTGAGCGCAGAGGGTCTGGATGAGCTGATGTCATGTGTGCGTGATTGTGGGAGTGTAGATTTTTATAACCTCCACCAGGGCCACTTGGCGATGTCCGTCAAAGTTACAAATGCACACACAGTTGGTCCCAGCGATGAGACAAACTAATCCTGGAGATAAACTCACATCCATGTGAGATGATGGATGCACAAAAATGTTCGTGGAAGCAATGCTGGAATGGCAAAAGACAGGAAAACAACTCAATTGCCCATGTGCCCATCCTGTTAAATATATATGTTATGTCCATGCCGTGGAATCCTAGGTACCAGAAGACAGAATTATGTTCTGATATAAAACACTTTCCAAGATGTGTTGCCAGGAAAAAAATAAGGGGCAAAACAGTGTGTATAGTATGCTGTCATTTGTGTGAAAGAAGTGACTCTAAAATGTATATATATAGACCATCTCTGAAAGGATATCAAGGAAACTGGTGGACGTGGTGGTTGTCTCTGGAGAGGGGCAATGGATGGCTGGGAGGTGGATGGGAAAGAGACTTTTTACTCTGTTTCTTTTTATCCTTTGGGAATTTTGAACCATGTGAATATAATCTAATAAAGAAATAAAAATTTTCAATTAAAATAAAATGGGCCATGGCCGTTGGTGCCCCACCTGGATCCCTTTACTAGCCTGCACAGCCGTCTCCCGTCTGCTTGGAGCGCTGGCTGTAGATGGCTCCCAACTGGCATAGTTCTCTGGAGAACTGTCCTTGGCCAAGTGGGGGCCACTCTGCTCAGAGGGTTATGCCTCTTCCTGTCCCCCAGGGGCAGCCCAGAGCCAGTGACTGACTCACGTGGGCTACAAAAGGCCGGCCCCTTGCTTCATGCTGGGACTAACTGTGGTGCATTTCGTGCCCCAGACTCCCCGTGGGATCAGGCTGCAGCGAGTCTCCAGCTGAGACCACATCCTTGCTTAGCTCCTTCCACTGCCCTGTCCTGCTTTCCTCCCTCCCTTACAGGTTATTCCTAAAGTGCGCTTCTCAAAGCTCACATGCGTCTGAATCCTTGTCTCAGGCTCTGCTTCCGGGGAGCCCTGTCCGAGACACCTGTCTCAAGGGAAGGGAACTAACTGGAGTTGAGCTAAGTGCTGTACAGGTGTCAGTGCAACATCCCGTGGAGAGGGGACTACTATCATTATCCCCATTCAACAGATGAGGAACCTCAGAAGTTCAGACACCAGCTCATGACACGTCATGGAAATGGGGAGCTGGTGGTCCTTGAGCCTGCTTCTCCCACTACAGCTGCTCCCTATTGCAGGGAAATCTCCCTCAATCCAGACTGGGCAGCTTCTCAGAAACAGGATTGTAGTTCCTATACATGGTTCTACCACTGTCCTCACTGCCTGTGGCCAAGGGGGGCCTAAGGGGCAGATGTGAAGGGGCAAAGCTTCTTAGGGTGGTAAGACCTGGAGGGCATGTCTGGGGCAGGCTGTCAAGACTCTAAGACTGTCGATCTTGGGCTCCCTCTATCATGTGGAATTCTGGCTCTAGCTGATAGCCTGTTGGCATTTTGGCCAAGAGAGATATTTGTGTACTTGCATGGGTGGGGAGCTCAGTATCTGACAAGGCAGCCTGCCACATCTATGGATGAGGTATAAAGGGCATCCTAACTGTGATTGATGGTGCTAACCTGAGCCCTCGGGACCACAGAACAGGGCTCCTCCTCCCGCCCTAGAGGGAGCCCTGCTGAAATGGGGACTTAGGCACCCTGGGGTCCCATCTTTGCTTCTCCAGGCCCCAAAGTCCTTTTCCTTCAGAGCATTCAGTCCCCTGACCTCCTCTGGCATCTTCTCCTGGGGCCTTCTTGAGAACGTTTTACTCAGAGCCTCTTGTCTCTCTCTATTCCAGTTTGATGGTGACAGTGCCTACGTGGGGATGAGTGACGGAAACCCGGAGCTCCTATCAACCAGTCAGGTGGGTGCCCCATCCTCCCTGAGTAGGGTCTCGCCTTGGGCCGGCTGGAGCTGAGCTGCTTAGGGGTGGGGGTGGGAGGGGTGCAGAGTCGGGGGCACAGCCTACCACTGTCCTCGCTCAGAATGATCAAGAATGTCAGTGGAGTCCCCTTAAAAGGAACAATCAAACTGGGACTACAGTGTTTTCTGTAAATTATGTACCTGGCTGTTGGCTTCAAATGGACATCATTGACAACTTGATAAACCTCAGAATGTGTTGCCCACATTCCCCATGCACAGAGGGGAAACTTTCAGCAGCATTGAGCAGAAATGTCACGTGCTCCCTGGTGCTGACTGCCTCTTGCTGTTACACAGCACCCATGGGACATACATTGGTGTGGAGGTGAGCACATCCACACAAAGGTGTGCAGGGTTCTCCCGCCCACCTGGAGTTGTCTGATGTCACTGGGGAGGGATGTGGACATGGCACGGAGAGGGGAGAGCAGAGGCTTCCTGTGCGGTCCTCCCTGGGGGCAAACGGGCCTAAGTCATCCCTGAGTAAGGCTGGCCCCAGCCCCAGCCCAGCCCTCTGGGAGCCCCAGATGCCAGCTGGAATCTGATTTCCCACTGAGAGCCTGGTCTCTGAAAATGAAGGTTTGTCTCAGCTGGGAGCATCCCCACTATAGACTGTAATGCCAGAGAGGGTCCTCACTGCAGATTGTGGCATCCTGGAGGATGGTTCCCTAGGCAGTGGTGCCTGCAGGGTGGCAGAAGCCCAGGGTGCTGGATGGAGAACCAAGGAGTTTCATAGCTGCTGAGAAACTTGGGGAGCTGGAGGTCAGCTCCAGGGACACCTCTGTCTATGCAGTCGTGGTGGTTGTGGCAGTCCAAGTTGGGTGACTGGGCCCACATTTTCCAGCTGGTGAAACAGAGGCCTGTTAATTCACAAACATTTATGTGTCCTACTATGTGACAGGTCTTGTGGGGGACATGGTGAATAGGACCTGGGCCTGTGGCCCTTAGGGAGCACCACCAGTGAGGGGAGATACTGTGGTCCCACTGCAGTGTGGCAGCCCCACTGCAGATGCTACATCCCCTCCCCTGCCTCTGCGGGGGTGCTCATGCTGGGGCTGCCACGCCAGGCCCCTTCTCTGGCCTATGGCCTTGTGAGCAACGTGCTGCTGCTGCAAAGCTGCCTTTATAGTGCATCCAGAAGTGCCAACCTGCAAGAAGCTGGTGGGCAAGACTCCAGGTCTTGGAAATGCTCATTTTGGAAGAGTCCACTGAAGTTATTTAATTTTCCATAATTAGCTTGGAAATGTGGTTGTCTCAAAAGACCAGAGCTTACCCCTGAACATCTCCTCTGAGCCCTTTAGTGATGTTTAAGTTGCATTTTGTTAACATTCTGAGCTTGGGCTCTCAGAACCATACTATAGTGGAGTAGGTGCTGGTTCAAACCCTGATGGAGAGTGTTGGCTCTGCGTTTCCGCCAAGAAAGGTAAGGGGCGCTCAGTGGCACTCCAGGTCTGCTCTAGGGCTTGGGCAGAGGGGTGCACAGTCCTTTGGAGAGGAGGTGCAGGGCAAATAAATGTCCCCCCCAAGTTGTTAACAACAACCTCAACTGTTCACCCTACACTCTACAGTTTGCAAAGCCCTTTTCTCAGTGATTATTTCGGCTGATCTTCACAACAGTCTGGAGAAGTAGTAGACGTTATTGCTAACCCCATTTTGTAGATGAGGCAACTGAAGCTCAAGGTGGTTGATTGGCAACCAGGAAGGAGTACAGCTGGGATTTGAACCTGCACAGCTGGGACTCAGGGCTCTACCTGTTACCTTGCTGTTTGTGGAGAGCTCTGTTCCCACCTCAAGGCTGCCACCGCCTCGCTCCAGCCCAAATGTCATTTCCTCAGAGAGCTCTTGGTGACCCCCAAATGCAAATTAGGTCCCCTCCCCGTGATTCTCTCTCATGGCACCATGTCCTTTAATTCAGGGTGTTTGTCCCTATTTGTGGTTGTCTGTTTATCTGTGTGATGACTTGGTTAACATCTGATTTCCACCCTGGACTGTAACCTCCATGAGGGCAGGCTCTGGTCTATCTTCTTCATGTTGTGTCCCCCAGTGTGACACAAAGCCTGTGCATAGAAGGCGCTCAGGAAATATTTGTGTGGTGAGTGAGTGTGACTCCTTCTCTTCGGTGGACTTCAGTATCCCTAACAGTAGAATGAGGTGGTTGGACTCCCCAAGGATCCCTCCAGGTCTCTTGGCTGTCACTAAGAGAGTCTCCCTAACTTAGAACTTAATAAGGAAGACAGCAGGATTCCCTGAGATTGACTAAGTCCACCTGGTGGCCTGAGCCAACCTTGATGTAAACAGGTTTAGCAATTACAATCTAGACTTCTTATAGTGTATCAGTTAGCTTTTGCTGCATAGCAAGCACCCCAGAACTTAGTATCTTAAAACAACCAATATTTATCGAGTTCCTGATTCCATGGCTGGGCAGTTTGGTTGGGTTCAGCTGGGTGGCTCTTCTGGTCATGGCCAGGATGATTTAAGTGGCAGCAAGAAGTTGCCAAGTTGGCCATGGGCTGATTGGTGTGATGGACTCACTTCTACTCCGGATGGTCCCCAGCCCTCCAGCAGGCAGCCTGAGATCGTTCACGTGGTGGGAGAGGGTTCCCAGAGCAGCAAGAGCAGAGGCTGCAAGAACTCTTGAGGTCGAGGCTTAGACCTGGTACATGAGTACTTCCAGCACATTCTGTTGGTCAAAGCAAGTCAAAAGGCCAGTCTAGATTCAAGGAATGTAGAAATGGCTCCATCAGTTTATGGGAGGAGCTGCAGTGTTTTGCGATCTGTTAACAAACTGCCACGTATGGGAAACACATGGGATGTAGTTCGGGATTTTGCTGAGGAATCGCTTCGACTCCTCTGGGACCTCCAGCTCCCTGTGGCTTGGTGGGCCTCCACTGGCCCCTGGTTCTTCATGGCAAAAGTTCTGTATGTTTCCTTCTAATCTTTCCCCTGGAGTGCTTGCTGGAACCCACACACACGCACATATGCACAGGAACAACCTGTCACGGGGTGTGGCCTCATCAGCTGCAGAAATTATATTGTCCCAGTTACTGCAGGATTGACATAAACATGTGGGCAAACTGAAGGTCTCATGGCCAATAGAGAATTCTGAGGATAAACACTCTAACTGGCATAAGCTGTATTTTATAAATACAGTTAAATATTAGATTCACCCATTCAGCAAACGTTTATTGGGCACCTAATATGTGCAAAGCTCTGGATATAGTGGGAAGCCGTTTCTGAAAGACGTTTGCTTCCAGAATATCCAGTTTCCTCATGTTAAAAACCTGCTCTTTAATGTAATGACCTCCTGAAACACCAGCTTCTTTGTTTAGAAACTGCAGCTGAGACAGAGGTCTCTATGGGATATGTATCAGCCAACTGTGTCCCTTGTAAAAACGTTCCAGCAAGCTCTTATGGGCTTGAAGTTTCTTTTGCACATGCGCGCTGCATTGTTTGCTTTATGTAAGTCTCCACAAAATTCCTGCATAGCTGCCTTAGCTTTCACAAATTATCACTTTTTCCCCTTCCCTGGGCCTTGTGTTTCTTTCGTACCCGACTTACCTGGGTGGACTGAGACTGGGATGCTGTTCTCAAGTGTGGCTTCCAGCCCTTCAGCAACTTCTGTGGGTGGGAGGCCTGGTGGAGATCAGCTCTTCCTCCTTTTGAGAGGAGACCCTGTCCGGGAGTTACAGGGATGGGTACTTCCTGGTGATGTCGTCTGGGAAGAGACTTCTTCCTGGGATGAGGAAAGGAACTGGGCTGGAGTCTCAGCAGACCTGGATGCAAATTCCAGCTCTTCCACATCCCAGCCAGACCCCTTATGCATGGTCAAATGGGCAGAGTAACGCCTGCCTCCTGGGGTATTATGAGAAGTATGTGAGGTGTGTGTTGTAGATTCTGTTGGTGCCTCCCCCAGATTCCCTTCACCAGGCCAGGGTACCCAGCATCCAGCTGTTGTGAATGTTGGCTGCTGATTATTCATAGCTGCCCCTTCTCTGGAGAATTGGTCTTTGCCAAATGGGAGCAGTGAACTTGGAGGGGCTGTGGGGGATGGTCTAGAAGGCCAGGTGCCTTGTCTCAAGTGGGGAGCAGCTCTGCAACTCCCCACAGAGCCCCAGCTGACTCCAGCAGAGACTACATCCTTGCTCAGCCCCCTCTGCCCTGTCCTGCTTCCCTCCCTTCCTCTCTCCTGAGTCACCCCTCAGTAGGTCACTCTCATAGGAATCCCATCTCAGGCCCTACTTCAAGGGAATCTAACCCAAGATAGTATTTAAAGTACCAGTGTTTGATGAAACTAGCTATGACTTATTTTTATTACCATAAATAATGTTTTGGTTACACTAGATGAATCTGGTCACCTCTTGTGCTCATTTACAACTCAGCGCCTTTGTATGCACTGTTTCCTCTGAGAGGAATCCTGTGGCCATTTTCACCCAACAAATGCCTATTGGTTCTTTCAGGGGCACTGCAAATGTCACCTCCTCAGTACAGCCTTCCTGGCTGTCAGTAGAGTTTTCCACTGTCACAACTCTAAGTACCACTTCTTCTAAAGATTTCCAACTTTGTCCTAAGAATTATTGAAAGAACTTGTGTGTATGTACGTGTGTGTGTGTGCGTGTGCATGTGTTAGAGAGACAGAGAGAGAGAGAGCGCAAATGAACTGGCACGAATGACTGTTTCCAGCATATTCTGTTAGTCAAAGCAAGTCACTGGGCTTTGTTAATGAGAAATAGAGAGATTGAGATTGAATGAGTTTGCTGTTTTAAAAGCTCAAAGGCAAGAGTGGATATGGGGAGATCACATGGGAGAGTGTGGTAATAGGCCAAATGAAGAATGATGTCCTAGATTGTGGTAGAGGCAGAGGAGATGGGAAGAAGTGGATGGATGTGAGATATGTTTTAGAAATAAAGTTGGTGTCTTGATGATGGTGGATATAGAGGGAGAAAGAAATGGAGGAGTAGAGGATGACTCCCAGGCTTCTAGCATGAGTTCATTTTCCAGCATGGAGGTACCATTTTCTTAGTTGGGGAAGGCCTGGGGAGGTCCAAGTTTGATGAAGTCAGACTTGGACTTGTTACATTGGAGATGTTTGTCCAAGTGGAGATGTCCAAGTAGGTAGATGGTTGTACATGTCTAGGGCTCATGGGGAAAGTGAACTTGGAAGTTCTCAGCCTGTGGCATTAAAACCTTGAAAGGATGAAATTTATGGAGGGAGAGAAGAGTAAGAGGAACAGAGGACCAATGACTCTTAAATGTTGAACTCCAACATTTGAAAGCAAAGTAGAAGATGAGAAGAAGACTGTGAAATAGGTTGAGAAGCAGTAGCTAGAGAAGTAGGGGGAGAACATGGCATCTTAGAAGCCAAGGGCAGATTGTTTCAAGAAGGAGCAAGGAATCTGGGAAAAATAATGTTGGATCAACAGCTCCTTCCCTATCAAAGGATAAATTGTAAATAAATCAGAGATTGAAATGTGCTCAAGGAAGCCATAAAGGCACCTGAAAAAAGCCTTTAAGGTATACTTTACAACTTTGGAGTGAGAAAGGTGTTTCTATGACTCAAAGTCTCAGAAGAAATGATTTAAAATTTTGACCATAAATTAAAAGGAAAAACACCTTTTGTATGGCCAAAACAGCATAAGTCAAGTCAAAAGACAAAAATGAAAAATTGGACAAGAATATTTTCAACTCACAACATAATCAAAGACTAATTTCCCTAATATATAAAGAGTTCCTAGAAATCAATTCACAACCCTGGCAGGAAAATTGGCAGGGGATGGCTTACATAAAAGAAAATACAAATGGATCCTAAGTATATGGAAAGATGCTAAAAATAGTTCATAAGAGAAATAAATTAAAACTACCATTTTCATTTATTAGATTGGGAAAAATCTAAAAGTTTGACAGCACACTCTGTCAGAGCCCATGTGGGAGAACAGGCACTTTTATACATCATGGAAGGGAGAGTAAATTGGTGTAACCCCTATGGAGGGCAAATTGGCAATGTCTGTCCAAATTACAAATGCATTAACCTTCAACCCAGAAATTCTCCTTTTGGAAATACGTCCTACAGATATATTTGCCCACATGAGAAATTACATATTCAGGATTATTCATTTTGGTATTGTTTATAATGACCAGAGATTGGAAACAACCCAGATGTGCCACCAGATGGGACTGGTTAAATAAATTATGTACATCTGTCCAATGCAATACTTGGGGCGGTAAAGAAGGAATGAGGAAGCTGAAGTGACGTAGAAGTTCTTTAGATACATTATTTACTGAAAAAAGCAAGGTAGAGAACAGTAGATACAGCATGTTACCATTTTTGCAAAAAAGATAGTAAGAATGTATGTTTCTCTGTGCTTCGATTTGATCAAAGAAACTCTGGAAGGATATATGGAAGCTTACCACAGGCTGTGTACATTGTGTCTGTGTATACGTGTGTGTACATGCATATGTGTGTTTGTGTTGGTGTATGTGTACATGTTGTGTGTGTGTTATAGAAACTAGGCAGGTGGACAGGGGTAGAAAAGAGACTTTTCTGTGTACCTTTTTATATGTCGGGGTTTTAACATGGGGATTTGTTGTAATTTCAAGAAGTTGAATAAAATTTAAACAAGAAGGAGGGGTTGGATGCTCCTGAGGGGTTGGTTGGGATGAGAGTTGAAATCCATCCAATAGTTTTAGGAAGAAGGAAGTCTGGATCTCAGAAAAAGCAGCTTCGATGTGTAGGGGTGTCGTGCAGGTCCCAGGGTAGATGGAGGAGCCGGTGTGAGTGAGGATGCAAGCAGTGAGCACAGACCACCTGCGTGAGAATCTGCTATGGAGGCCAAGGGTGAGGGCTGTCATTCAATGAGATGAGGATTCCGCAGAAGGGATTTTTTTAAAAGATGAGAGAATCTTTAGAATGTTTAATGGTTGATGGAAGGCATCCAGGAGAGAGGGTGAAGTTCAGAGTTCAGGAGAGGGAAGGGTTAACTGATGGTTTAAGTTTGGGAGAAGGCAGGAGGGGGTGGGTCCTGCCCACAGTGGAAGCTCTGGCCTTAGCCAGGAGGCGGATGGAGGAGGAGAGGAGTGTGGTTTTGTGGATGTGTTGGCTGGGAGCAGAGGGTGTCTGCACCTGGAAGCATCTGTCTTCTCGGGGAGGCTGTTGGGCAAGTCAGGGCACTGGAGGCCTGAGGAGGTGGAGACGGTCTGCGATATTGTGATGCTTGGGAGACTGAGCTCCTGGTGCAGGTGCTGTGGGGGCCAGACGGTTGTGTGAATCCAGGGCAAAGATTTGTCGGGCAGGTGTACCAGAAAGACACTGAAGCCTTTTTGCCCCAAAGAGATACTAAAGTAAAGGACCAGAGCAACCAAGCTGAGCAAAGAGAGAAGAGAGGAGGGCCCTGGGTCCAGAGAGTCCCCAAGGGAGGAGCTGATGGGGATGCCTTAGTCACAGAGTGGGAAGTAGGGTGGTGATTGGAAGGTGAGCAGCCGTGGGCATTGACGGGGTCCTGGGTGCATCTGGGGAGTGGGAATCTCTCACAGAGTGGAGCAGAAGCTCCTGGAGCTGAGGAGCCGAGAGCCCAGCATCAGCATGGTGGCTGAGCTGAAGGGACCCAGGATGATGCTAGGGTGGGATAGAGGGAAGCCAGAGCCCAGAGCCGAAGGCTGGGAGCATGACAGGGGAGGCCAGGCAGGAGGTGGGTGGGCAGCATGAGCGGCTGGATGCTGATGGAGCTGCATGGGGCGGGGGAGGGATTTGTAGGGAAGGTGGATGGTGGTCTGGATGGGGCAGTGGAGAGAGAGGAGGATCTCAGTCCTACCTTCCAACCTGAGATACATGGGCAGTGGGGGAACGGGCAGCTCACCCGCAGAACGTGTGCGGGAGACAGGTTCCCGGTGAGGCAGGAGGGGAGTGGAAGGCATGTTCTAAGATGCGGCTGGGGAACGAGGAACTTTGTTGTTCTTAGAGTGGGAGTCGCAGTGGGCCCAGGGGCTATTTGGGGGGGAGTATGGCATGAAGGTTCAGGGGGCTTCCACTTGAGGTGCTCCTTGGGGAGCCCTAGGGCCTGTGGAGCATGGGGAATACCACCAATTAGGAGCACTGCCAGGTGTGAGCAGCACCCAGCACCCAGTAGGCCCTGCCTACCCACTGCTCCTTCAGCATCCCTTCTAGGTGGACCAGTAGAACATGGGCTGGAGTGGAGTTATTGTGTCATTAAGGCCAAGATTCCCATACTACAAAACGGGCCTCCTAGCACCTCTCACGTCACTGGCACACAACAGGCACACAAGGACTTTGAGTGAAGTGGATTCTTGCTCTTGGTTCTGAACACCACTGTGTTTGTGCGGCAGCCGTCCTTCATAGATAGCCAGGGATGCCTGGTCTGTTTTCTTTCCCCTTGGATCAAATGTAGACCTAGAATGGGTCGATGGTATAACCAGGAGGCCAGAAGACCAGGAGCCGGTCAGGGCCCGGGGTCAGACCTGCAGTCCCCGGGTACTGTCCTGTGGCCTTGAAGGCACAGCCTCCTTCCAGCAGGGGGCCTGTGTAGGAGGCTTGCAATGGGGAGAGAGCCAGGAGCTCTGAGTTCCAGGTTCTGCTCTGCTCCATTCTTTTCACCTGTGTTGGTATCTCGCTGAGCCTCAGTTTCCTCATGGGAATAACGAGGGTGAATGGTCTGTTGGCTTTTTTCAGCCGTAAGTACTGATGATGCTGATGATAACAAACATTTACTGTGGGCTTCCTTGGGCTCAGGCACTGGGGCTGCATGTTTCCCATGGCTGGTCTCATTTCATCCTCACATTAACTCTATCAGGCAGGTCCTGTTGCCGTCCCATTTTACAGGCGAGGAAACTGCAGTGCAGACAGATAGAGAGGGAGTTGAGTCTTTGAAACCAGCAAACAAACAAAAATGCTTCCCAGTAAATGCACTGAGGGGCAGGAGGCCCCCCTGCCATCGTTGAAATCTAAGATTCTAGGAGTAGTAACTCTGGCCTCTGAATCTGTGTACCTCATAAAGGGCAAAAACGACATGGCTTTTATTGCTTTAATTAAAACCTGGGTGAAGAGCTCACGATTCATATTAAAATGAAATTGTGTTTCGCCTGCTGTGGTGCAGAGAAGGGAACAGCAGCGATTACTGCTAAGATTACAAACAATCAAAGAGAAAAGGCCTTTTGCAAGCATTTCCTATTAAAGCCACAAACATCACACTTTAAAAATAATTATGGTTGTGTTATCGGAACATGATTCATGAATTCTGAATAAATATGAGGGGCCTTAAAGGAAACTGTTTCGAGACCATAGATTTTGTTCAAATCTGATGAAATTTAATATCATTTCGCAGCTGGAGAATAAAATGCAAGGAGGGAAAAAACCCCATCCGATGTCTATGGAGGGAGTTGAGTATACGTCAGACTGAACTAATCAGCCGCCCCCCATCCGTCCCCTGCACGTGCTCGGAAAAACGCACGAGCCTCTCTTGTTTTCATTGGGAGAAGACTGCCTGGAAGGACTTGGTGCTCACACCTCACCAGTCTTAATGCTGCATTCCAATGGCTAAAAGCATGTTTATTTTAAAGTTCTCGAGGCCTGGCCGTGAGATGTTCAAATATTTGAGGGCGCAGGCATGGAAGCATTAGGGAATGTTTTTGGGGTAGAGGGAACTTGGTATGCATTTTATTGCACCCTCTCTGTAATAAAGATATTTTTCATACAATGCAGTGAATGTTTACAGCGTATAGTTTTGTTTCCTTCCAACTATTATGAGAGAAATTGAATCCCTGGAAACGTTCACTCTCTCTAAATGGGATGGAAACAATGAAGATGGTGCAGGAAGTTTATGGGTTGGGGGAGGGAACAGTCATGGGTTGGAAATGTAATTTCAAGGATTTTCTTTAAAACAGCACCCCTCTCCCTCTCCCACGCCAGCCACTTTGAACTCAGCATCTTCTGTAGGGCTTTCTGTAGGGTCTTTGCTGGTGGGAGAGCTACTGACGTAACACGTTTGGTCATTGCTACATACGCATGAGCTCACCCTGCGCTCAAGAAGTAGAAATGAGGCCAGATGTGGGGCCTTTCCAGAATGGTGCTGGGTCTGTAGCTTTTGGAGGGTCAGGAGCCTGGGACTGGCTCTCTTCAGCCCCTCTCAGTGTGTGCCCTTGGGTGGGTCATTTGCCTCTCGGAGCTCTGGTTTTTGCATCCGTGAATGGAGGCTGAATGGGTATCTATGAGAGACCTTCTAGTTATGTCTATGGCCAAGGGATTGGCCTCCTCCACCCCCTGACTGAGTCCCTAGGAGGGACGGTGGTCTGTCCAACAGGCCAGAGACTGACCTCTCCCACCTGGCTGAGTCTCCCCAGTGCTGAGGGGGCCTCCGAGATGGAGGTCAGTGGCTCTGAGCAAGGTTTTAGCCCACCAGTGGCGACAGTAAAAAGATGCTGTTGGTCAGATGGGTTATAAGGGTAATGACACGAGAAGACAGACAGACCAGGGCTCAAATTCTGGTCTTGACATTTCATGGCTGGGTGACCTTGGACAAGTCCACCAACTTTTTCAAACCTCAATTTTGTCTTTAGAAGTTCGTCAAAGTGATGTGGGGAAAACAGATGCATTTATACCCAAAGTTCTTACTCTAGTGCTTGATACATGGCAAATGGTAGTTAGCATGAGGTGCTATTAAGATATCCATTACAGATGAAAAAACTGATTTTCAGGAAAGTAAAACAACTTGCCCAAGGTCATCCACCCGGATCGTGGTGGGCAGAGGAGTCAAATGCAGCATCAGAAATATCAGGAAAGGGGAGGCCAGTCAGCTATTATATCTAATGCAAATCAAATTACATTGAGGGTTGAAATTGAGAAGATGATATTGGAACTATCTTGCTTTTAAAATGTGCCAAGAAATACTCTCGCAAAATAAAAGTAGTAGAAGATGCCTCCTGATAATCGCCAACCCTCTGAAGATGCACGACCCCTCCCCACCTCTCTCCATTTGATGGCCCTCCAGCCCAGTGCCCCAGGGAACAGCTGGGCTTGCCAAGCCTCCTTGGTTCACGTCTCATTAACGTTAAGAGGCCTTCATGTGGTCCAGACAGCCAATTTCTCTGTCTCTCATATACACTGAAAGCCTGTGGCTCTGATGGGGAGCAAAGGTCCAGGCCTGTGGTGGTTGCCCCTGCCAGGCCTGTCATCCTTCATCCTGCCAGCTCCTGGGAGAGTGTGGAGCACAAGGGACTTGAGTGAGAGTGAGTTGCAGGTCTGTGCTCCAGGTCTCTGCCTTGTTCTCATTGTGTGACTGTGACCAAATTACGTAACCTCTCTTGGCCTTGCTTTCTACTTCCGTAAAATGGGGATCTTATTACCTACTGTAGGTTAAGAAAATCAGAAGTGGGTTCAGTTTAGTTAAGTAGTTTAGTTTAGTTAGACTAGTTAAAGTGGATGTAGGTTAGTTAAGAGGACTAGTTAAGTAGGTATAAGGAAACTGGCTCGGCCAGTGCTGCTTATGATAGGAGCTTGATAAAGTTTTTATTGTTGTTGGAATTTACAATTTAGAGAAGAGAAGCCAAATAGTGAAGAAATGAGGGGAAAGTTTGGTAGCTCCAGTTTTCTGTGCACACTTTTTACATAGGACTGGGGTGGAATGAATAAGGTGAGGTTTCAGGTCAATGGAAATCCAGCCCAGACTCCCTCAAGTCAGGCCAGTGCTGCGGGCCTTGGAGATGCGCCTGTTTGCCTGGTGACAGAGTCTGAACAACCACCCAGGGACACCGAGCTGGGGAGGTGGGGTGTTGGTGACTCACAGGAGCCTGGGGGAGCGGGGCTGCATGGCCTTGAGAGGAGCGTGTACCAGGCTGGGCAGGACGGGCAGAGGGACCGTTGAACCACTGTTGGCTTAGGAGAGGGGGATGGGGAAGGAGGGCCTTGTGGAAGTCTTGCTTTGCCTGGGAAATGGGATCATCCTCTTCAAAGTCCCCTCAAGAAAACCTTAAATAAGATTCTCTGTAACAGCTCCAGGCCCTTGGAGCTGCTCTGTGCCACTTTGGGCCGTTCACTGTGCTGGGATGGCCCTCGAGGGTAGGTGGGTTGTGGCTGGAGGCTGTATCTGTGTGCTGTCTAAACATGGAGCAGTTGTAGCTCTATTCTTGTTGCTGGCCTTCATAAACGATTGCCAGAGATGGCAGTGGGAGAAGGACAGCAGGAGAAGGGTGAGGAAGCATTTTGAAATTTGTGAAATACTCTTCCTAAAATGTAGGAAATGGAAAAGACAGAAATACCAAGTTGGCAAGGATGTGGAGGAACGGGTGCCCTCATACATTGCTGTGTAAATTGGTACAACCACTTTGGAAAACCGTTTCTCAGTCTCTAAAGCTCTGTGAGCCAGTAATTCAGCTCCTAGGTGTTCACTCAACAGAAATGCATTCATCTGTTCACCAAAAGACACGGATAAGAATATTCACAGCAGCACTTTCCATAAAAGCACAAAACTGGAAACAATCCAAATGCCCATCAACAGTAGACTGGATAAGTGATTGCAGTATATTCTCGCAGAGTGGAATCCTGTGCAGCAGCGAGAATGAGCCATTTATAACCACGTGCAATAATATGGATGAATCTCTCAAACACCAGGTTGAGTGAAAGACGCCAGACACCAAAATAGAACATCCTGTATGATTCCATTCACATAAGGCACATGCACAGCAAAACTAATCTATGATGATAGAAATCTGAATTGTGGTTACCCTGCTGAGGGGGTGGGCAGTGAGGGGCCTTGAGGGGCTGGTAAGGTTTTCTCTCTTCATTTGGGTGCTGTTGATGCAAGTCTGTGGACTTTGTGAAGAGTCATCATTGAGCTGTACATTGTGACTGTGCGCCTTCTGTTGGTACCCTATGCTACAATAAAGAGTAAGAGAATTATCAAGGTATTTGTACAGATGTCTCCCTTTTTAGAAAGGTGGCGAGATGGGGAAAGGAACTATCCAGATTTGGTCATTTGTATCTTGTGTCTATCAGCTCACTAAGTAATGTGTTCCCACTGGGGATCTGGATGGACTAGTCCTTTACAGCCTGAGCGATTTATTTAACTTCCTGGGTGGGGAAGAATTATTTTAGCCTCATAATGGATGATGAGCTGTGAAATTGCTCGAGCCGTGGCTCACCCCAGGGAAACAGGTGGTGTGGGCTTCTCTGCATCTGCTCAGCTCTGCGGGCCCCAACCTTCACTCCTGTTTCTCTGTGGACAGAGTTTTAAGAAATGTTTGAAAATATGAACATCTCAAAAAAAAATGTTTGTACATGTGCGTGCCTGTGTGTGTTTTTGTGATGCTATGTTGTGATGCCAGAAAATGTTATTTATGGACTATTTGAAGATGTCTGTGGAAAAGTGCCTCCAGGTTCAGGCACAGACACGGACATGCTTGTACACAGACATTCACGCACAAATACAAGCACAGGTGCATGTTGTGCTCACCCAGGCGTGCTTGCTGATAGACATCTTTTCACTCCTTAAGCATCGCTCTGTGTCTCTGGGCAAGTTACTTAATCTCTCTGTGCCTCAATTTCCTCAGTGAAATGGAGATCATAATAGCAACTAGCTCTTCGGACTGTTGTGAGCAATACTCACACTCACACTCACACACGAATGAGATTTTTATTGTGTGTTTATTTGTTTAATGGCTGCCTCCTCCTAGACTGTTGGCTTCATGGGAGCAGGATCTGGCACATAGTAGGAGCTGTGTTAATATCCGGCGAGTGAAAGAGGGAGTGAATGAATGAACAGCTCTCGCAAATCCACTGGCACACGTGCTGACATTTAGACACTTTCACCTACGTGTTTGTGCACGTGCAGACACGTCGTTCGTGTGTGTAGACATGCAGGGATACACACGTAGACAAGTCCGGAGCTCAGGAGTGTGGGTTTTGCTGCAGTTTTGAGCCTCTGGACTGGATGTCAGAACACAGGGTTCTGTGTGTGGCTCAGGTAACTCTCGTTTCTTATGTGACCTTGGGTAAGTCTTTCCACCTCTCAGAGGTCAAGGACTCCTAGCTGGGATGTGACAGAACTGGAATTTGAACCATGGTCTGTCTGGGTCAAAGTCTATGCTTTTAATGCCTAAGGCCTTGTGATCCACACTGTGATCCGTGGACCAGCAGCATCACCTGGAGCATCTCGGGTCCTACCCTGACCTCCTAAATCAGAACCTACATTTTAACAAGGTCCGGGTGATCTGTGTACACACTACAGATTGAGAGGTGTGGCCTAAAGTGTACTGTGTCCCCTAAGCACTAAAAGGAATTAGGGTCCGTGCTCAGGGGGTTCATAAACTGGGAAGGACACAGGCACATGCCCTCCCTGAGGACCACCAGAGAGAGGCCATCAGAGAATGGGAGAAGAGGCAGCTGGGAGCTGCCTATGGAGACAGAATCCACATGGAAGCTCAGCATCGCACATGAGGGAGCCCAGTCCCTTCTATTTATAAAGAATAATACAGTCCTTAAAAGTACCAAGTCATGAGCTAAGCTTTTCAGTTTAAAAACAGCATGCGTTAATTGTCTCGTAGCTCTTGTGGGTCAGAAATCCAGGTGTGGCTTAGCTGGGTGCCTCTGCTCAAGCTCTCTCACGAGGCTGCAGTCAGTGTGTTGTTGAGGGCTGCCGTCTCATCCAAAGGCTTGACTGAAGGAGGATTTGTGTCCAAGCTCATTGGTGGTTGTTGGCAGGATTCAGATCCCCTGAGCTAGACTTTTGAGTTGGAAACCTGGCCCCATCCCTTCCTAGCTGTGTGACTTTTAGCAGGTTTTACATCTCAGTGCTTTCATCCTCTGTGAAACAGATATAGTAACACCTGCCTCATAGAGCTATTAAGACTAATAAATTCATGTATGAAAAGTGCATACAACAGGGATGCACTTAGCACATGGTAAGAAGCATTTAAATTCTTGCTGCTATTATTATTATTTTGAACAAAGCTGCAGAGAAGCAGGACAGCACAAACTTGGCTCACAGAGGGGGCTCAATAAACCTTAGGGGAGTGGATGAGCTGTGGGTTGCAGTCTCCTGATGGGACTTCTGGGGCATATTAACAGGAACATGGGGTCCAGGCTGTAGGAGGAGGCCTTGCTCCATTCTGCTCAGAGCAGGCTTACAGTGCTGGGCCTAGTCTTTGGTGCCAGCACCTGGGAAGGCAGAATGGTGTTGTGGTGGTCCTGGAATGTCACTGGGATGAGGTACAATGGCCGGAGGAGAGGGTCCAGCACACCCCGGGCTTGCTGATACCAGAGCATGCAGTATTTGGGGGCTGCAGTGGGCTCACCGTGCCTGGTGTCAGGTGATGTTGCAGGATCTGGTTCAGGAGGTCTCGGATACCAAACAGATATGGGACCCTGCTGTGAGGGCGGCAGGCCTGGGAAGGGTCTGAGCAGGTCTGTGTCCCTGGAGCAGCATGGACTGGGGGACTTCCCTCCTTAGCCCTGTGTCACAGGACTTCAGAACACTCGCAAAGGCCAGTCTCTGAGAACTTTGGTGCCTTCATCCCCAGGCAGCTGGCTTGGCACATTTTTAGACAATGGTACTTCTGTAGTTTTCAAAAGGTAGAAATGGAAAAGAAAAAAGCTTCAAATAGACATAATTTTTTTCAAGAAGCTATTTTAACACGGAAACAACTGGAGAGCCTACTCATCATTTTAAAATGCTTTTAAAATCAGCACTGCTTGATGTCTTCCTGTGTACCTGCAAACTGGTGGCACATACGGGAATTAAATTTGGGTTTAAAAATCTCTTGGCCCAGCACAACCAGAAGGACCTACAACTAGAATACACAATTATGTACTGGGGGGCTTTGGGGAGAAGAAGAAAAGAAAAAAAAAAAAAAAAGAAGATTGGCAACAGTTGTTAGTCAGGTGCCAATCTTTAAAAAAAACCAATAACAGCTTTAAAAAAAAATCTCTTGGTCCGACTCCCTCTTTTCACAGGTGGTGTTACTGAGGCCCAGAAAGGGGCAGTGACTTTCCCAAGGTCACACAGCCTGTCAGAGGCAGAGCTGCGGCTCAAACACCTTCATGGGAAGATGATTTCCAAGAAGAGGACAGGGAACCAGAAGACTCTTATAGGTCAAGTTAGAATTTTGCACTGAGCAGCATCTCTAAGGGGAAGACCACTTCAGACCTTGGCTGCCTTCTTAGAGCTTACAGGGTGCAGAGCCCGGCCCTATACCACAGCAGGCCATCAGAAAATGGATTCATTAAAAAAAATATTTACTGAGTACCTACTGTGTGCCAGGCAACGTTCCAGGTGCTGGAGATGCAACTGTGAACACAGCAGTCCAAAACCCCTATTCTCATTCATTCATGTATTATTTCATTCAGCAAATGTTTATTGAGGGCCTACTATGTGCAAGGTACTTTCCTTGGTCCTTGGAATAATCAGTGACCAAACAGCAGAATTTACATTCCAGTGAAGAGAACAGGCAATAAGTATGTTTTAAAAGTCAAGAACATTGTGTGTTAGATGGTAAAAGTGTCTATGGGGAAAAAAAACATCTCTAGGACAGGGGTCAGCAAACCATGGCCCATGGGCCAAGTCTGGCCCTCCACTTGTTGTTTGTTAATAAAGCTTTATTGGAACACAGCTACTCTCATTAGTGTAAATGCTGTTTGTGGTTACTTCCGTGCTACAGGAGCAGAGTCGAATAGTTGTGACAAAGACTGATTGACTCACAAAGCCAAAAAGATTTATCATCTGGACCTTTGCAGAAGAAGTTGCTGACCTCTCCTCTAGGAGATCCAAGGGAAAGTGTCAAAAAGGCAGTTGGATACGTGGTTGTAAAAAGTATGTTATTAAAATATACAAACTTCTGCCACTTATTGGAAAAGTGAGTTTCTTTATCTGCAAAATGGGGTAATGCCTGGTGCTCAGGCCGCCCCCTCTCCCTTAAACACTGTCCCAGGTTATCCCCAGCCTTTTTACTTAAGTTCTGCTTGGATTGCTTCCTCCTAAAGAGGAAGGAAGCCCCACCACTAATCACTCATTTTTCCAGAAACAACCCCCCTAGGTGTATCAGTCCAGAAAATGGCTTGAACCTTAGAGTGACTCAGATAACTTCCTGAGCGAAAACACAAGGGGATTATCATGTTTGTGCCCAGATATAGTTTTAGTAAACAAAACTCATGTCTAATATGACTGGCTGTCATCGTCACATTACGATGCCTCCCTCTGTCTCCTCAGATCCAAGCATTTCAGGGTCAGGACCACCAGCGGGAGGGTGTCATGCGTCCTCCTCCACCCCTGTTACCATGGCTTGGAGGTTCTGCCTATAAATAAAGGCTTCAAAAGATATTACATCTCCACCCTCCTCCTCCAGAATCCACATTCAATTTTAACAGTATGGCTTTTTCACTCCCATTTCATTTATAGACGGTATGGGTTTTTATTTATTTATTTATTTTTAAGAAGCATTTTCAGGCCAGGAAAATGATAGCCTAACAAGAAGGCATAATTGTGCTGATTTTCAGAAGTGTGGCAATACTCCAGATCTGATGTGCTGCGAGACATGAATCAGAAAGATTCTATTAAACATCTCTGGGATGGGTGACACAGGGGTATTAGCCAAGATGATTAGTTTGACTGGGTCATTATGGACACAGACAAGCCTGACAAAATTGCATTTCCTTCCCCACTGAATTCATAAAACCACTGTACACATAATAAGAAGTTATAGTGCTGGGTGCCCTGCTCCAGTTGATGGGGTTTCAGGTTTGGATAAGATGCCATTTTCCTTGTTTTGAGAGTCAGGAAACACTGAATTGAATGACAGTCCTTTAGCTGAGATGTTCTTGTACTGTGTGGGTTTTACTTGTCAAAATGGTGGGATGGTGGGGTGGCCATATAATTGTCCAAACCAGGACGATTTTAGAGTGAAAGAGAGCACTATTAAAAATTACCCCGGGACAAGAGGCATAAACCAGGACTGTCCTGGGCTAGTCAGGATTAATGTGCGTGTATGGAGAGCGGCATGAACAGTGGGAGAGCACGTGTTGGCTCCAGATAGTCAGGGCTTCTCGTTCTTGTTTCCGTAAATGCCACCCACGTGACTTTGGTTAAGCCGTTTTTCCTTTTTGAGCCTCAGTTTCGTCATCTGTAAAATGGGAAAGATGTTTAACACTTGCTCTGTTTACCCCTGAGGTCTTTTTTTTTTTCCCTCCTTGGATATGGGAGAGGGGGTTGTGTTGACTTGCTGTTCGTGTGTTTTCACATCTGTTTCCTTGTATAATTCCCTCAGCTGTTAGGTGGGGTTTTGTAGATAAGGACACTCAGGAGTAGGCAGCTGGATAAATTGCCAAAGGTCCCTCAGCAAGTAAGTGGCAGGACTGGAATTCCCCCAGGTCAGTCTAACGCCAAAGCCAGCATTCTTTCTGCAGATCAAAAAATAGTACTCGCTGATTATGTATTCCAAGAATCTTCAAGCTTTTATGGGAAAAGTATTTGAAATACGTGAAAGCATTTGGAACCCGAGAGTCCTGTATCAACATAAGGTGTTGTTGCTGTCACCCTGGGTTATTGAGTAGGCTGGACTCTGCAGGGTACAAGACAGCATGGTCCATCCCGTGCTCTTTCCTCCCTGGTTCATGGGCTCGGAAAACTGTGGTGGGGATGGGGGTTCTGTTGCCTCTCCCTGCACTCCCGTTTCCTCTGCTGCTGCTGGAGACTCTAGGATGAGGACAGGGTGAGGTGGAGTTAAAGGAGTAGAGTCAACATCTTGCTGACTAGTTGTGTTGATCTTCCACTGGCCGTGCCTGCTCTTACAGCAGGCTCTCACATGCTGGCTCTTTTCCATGAGGCACACGGAACTGGGGATTCACTCTGTGGCTCACCTCTCGTGGCCTGCTCTGCAGGTAGTCGTATACCTGATGACATACCTCCTGCTTCTCAGGTCCCCCTGCCCCATCAGGCTACCGTCTTGGGTGGAACCCCTTTCCACGCCGTCAGCCAGCTGCCTTCCTTAGCTTTCACTTGCCTCCCAGCAATTCACACATCCCTGCCTTGCCAAACCAAGTACATGCCAACTGCTCTCTGTTTCTCTCTCTCATTCTCTCCGTCTCTCCTGGCCCTGCCATTTCAGGCAGCTCCAGCTATCGTCCTATCTGCCAAAACCTTCCAGTGACAGTGACCTCCTAAGGCTTGTAACTCTGGAGACACAAGTTGGGTGTTCCCGAGAACTTTCTCATCAGGCTTCACGAAGGAGTGAGGCGCCACTTTCCTTTTGTGCTGCACCCCTAGTCCCGACAAGCTGTGCTGCCGGGGGCTGTCTCACTTGGCCTGAAGGTGGGGGGGCCAGGATGGGAGAAAAGTCACATCGCCCCCTACTCCTAGAGACTCCCCCTTAGTGAACCTTCTGCCTTTCTCTTCTACAGCGTTGGGGTGGGCAATGGGAATGGACAGTCCAAATGCCAGTCTCAGAATTTTCTGGTAAGCATTAGCTGGAAAAAGTAGAAAAACCATCGAATAATGAAAGGTACACTTCCTCAAGAAGATAGGATAACCATTAATTTGTAAATACTTGACAACATAGCTCTGAAATATCTGAAGTAAAAACTGGACAGAAAGACAAGAAGAAATTAATAAAATCACAATCATGGTGGAAATTTTTAACATATCTGTCTTAGAAACCAATGGATTAAGCAGAAAAAGAGAAATAATAGTTTTTTAGAAGGTTTAAACAACAGAATTAAGCGGGAAATAATAAAAATTTATGAAAATTAGCCTTATACTGTGTTAACAAAGGAATTCTCAATGACTTTCAAAGAATCAATATATTTTTCATTCCTTTTTGGGTATCCTCTTTTTTTTTCTTGTCAGTGGTTGACTATTTTGTTAGCCTTTTCAAAAAATCAGCTCTTTCTTGTATCTATCTAAAATTTGTTTTCTATTTTATTACTCTTTCTTCTACTGACTTTTTGTTCATATTGTTTCTATTTCTGGCTTCTTCAGTTGAGTGCTGAGTTCATTTATTCTGTCTTCTAATAAATGTGTTTAGGCAAAAAGTTATAAATCTTCCATTGTCCACCTCTCACAGGTCTTGTCAGGCAGTGTTCTCGTAATTTTAGTTGTGATTTCCTCTTTAACCCAAAAGTTATTTAGAAAATTGCTCTTAAAGTGTCCATATATTTAGGAGTGTCTGCCTCCCTCCATTTTTTTCTGCTGCCTCTTTCTTTGTTTAATAATTAGCTTGGTACATTTGGATCCTAGAATGTGGTCTGTATCATTTCTACCTTTTGAAAAATTTGAGATTACAGGCACGTGCCACATAACGACATTTTGGTCAATGATGGACTGCATATACGACGGTGGTCTCATAAGATCAGTACCATGTAGCCTGGGTGTGTAGTGGGCTCTACAATCTAGGTTTGCGTAAGTGTACTCTACGATGTTCGCACAATGACGAAATCACCTAACAGCACATTTCTTAGAACATATCCCCATCGTTAAGCAACGCATGGCTGTATCAGAGTATTTAGTTCATGGTCATGTGTTTTCACTGTTCCATGGACATTTGAAAAGAATGTGTATTCTTTAAATATTGGGACAAATCAAGAGGGTAAATGGTGTTATTCAGATCTTCTATCCTTACTCGTTTCTATCTGATTGATTTGTCAGTTTTTGCGGAGATGTGATAGTGTCTCATTATGTTTATGGTTTTGTTAAATCTTCTTTGTATTTCTAACGGTTTCTTTTTATGTTCCTGTGGTTTATCAGTCTACATAAAAGTTTATGTCTGTCATTTCTTCTTAGTGCATTGTATCATTTATCAACTTAAGTATTCCTCATGCTCTCTTTAATGCTTTTTGCCATGAATTGTACTTAATTTGTTATTAATTTTGCCACTTCTGCTTTTTATTTGCCTGATATATCTGTTTATTTTTAACCTTCCATGTCATTTTATTTTAGGCATGCCTATTATAAATGTCATATCTTAGATTCATTTATTTTAATCAAAATATTAATTTTTTATCATTTAATAAAAGAATTGAAATCATTCGTATATATGGTGATTACTAATATTTATTCTTAATGCTGTCAATTTGTGAAGATTCTTTATTATCATGTTTCATAGTTCGTTCCTATTTTTTTTCTTTTCAGCTTTCCGTTAGATTGATCAGATTCTATTTTCTTTTCCCTTTTTCTTTTGTTCCTCCAATGGTGTAGAATTTCTACTTTCCCTTAGAATTATAATAAATAGCTAATAAATGAATTCAGCAAAGTTTCAGGGTGTAAGATCAATACACAGAAGTCAATTGTGTTTCTATACACCAGCGATGAACAATCCCAAAAACAAACAAGGAAAACAATTCTGTATGTAATAGCATCCAAAAGAATAAAATATGTAGGAATAAATTTAACCAAGGGTGTGAAAGACTTGAACACTGAAAACTATCAAACGTTGCAGAAAGAAATTAAAGGACACCTAAATAAATGGAAAGACATCTTGTGTTTATAGACTGGAAGACTTATTATTGGCAAGATGGCAGTACTGCCCAAGTGAGCTACGGATTCAGTGCAATCCCTATTAAATTCCTCCCGGCCTTTTTGGGCAGAAATGGAACAACTGATCTTCAAATTCATATATAATTGCAAGGGCCTCTGAATAGCGACAACAATCTTGAAAAAAGAAGAGCAAAGTTGGATAACTCACACTTCCCAATTTCTACAAAGCTACAGTAGTCAAAACTGTGTTGTACTGGTATAAGGATAGACATATAGACCAATGAAATAGAATTAAGAGTCCAAAATGAGCCCCTACACCTATGGCCAATTGATTTTCAGCAGGAGTG